TGAAACACCAATATACCCGTTTCCCATGACCTTGATTACAAACAGAGCTGACTGAGTTATCCCCACTCTCACATTCAAAGACGACACAACGCTATCTTGACAGGAAGAAGAATGAGCCTTTGTGGTGTACAGGCTGACACTGAGATACCACACAAAGCCAGGTGATTCAGATAAAGAAATGCTCTCATATGAATGGATAGATGGATGGGCCGATAGATATATGGATGGTGATGATAACTATAATATCCTGGGGGCTTTCTTGGCCTGTGGGCGTTGACATGAGGGGAGATGTGTCATTAATCAGATGAGCCAGTGACCCTCCCCTGTTGGCCTGTGACATTACAGCTGCTGTTTCACTCCAAAGGTCCATCACATATTCTTGTGTGCATAGACACTCATGTCTTATAAATATATTTAAGCATCTTCGCTCAGTCCTGAAATTTGATATCTTACAGTAAGCTATTAGCTTACAGTACTGTGCTGACAATTTAAGATAGATTATTTTGATTAAATCTAAACATTTAGTTTTTAATTTAGTGTCAGTAAAGATGTCATTTGACCATGAAGCCCACCACCTGTTTCATAAATGTAGAGATTATCTCGTATTTATTGGAGTGCTTTTTCATAAATTCTGCACTGGTGCGGAGTTTAAAATTAAACACTAGGATTACACCAGCCACCACAACTATGTGTTCCTGATGATCTGATCTGATTATTGGTCTGATATCTTTGAGCATAAGAGTAACACACGTTCAACACCGATTTTTGTAGTTTCCACCACAGCAGGTGGGTATTACAAACTACAGCCAGTCTGTGTCTGGCATAATGGCGCAACTGGTAATTAATAGAAAATGGCCTTTTTAAATAGGAAGCAGCAGGAAACACATTCTTTTCTATATTCAGTAGCTGTCTTTAGCATGTAGCGGCACAAGCCATGTGATGTACACTTGGGAGACCAGTAGAAATGTACTGGTACTAATGCAGTAAAACAGTGATCCCCAACCTCTTTTGTAACACGGACTGGTTTATGTCCGACAATATTTTCACGGTCTGGCCTTTAAGGGCTCGTGGATAAATACAACAAAATAAAACTAGTACCAGTAGCAAAAGAAAGGAGATTCATTCATAACACACGGGAAAAGACCCAGGGAAATGATAAAAATGATAAACAATAATGATAAAAACCAATAAAAACCCTGAAAACCATAAGTTTCACACCTGAGCCTGGTACCAAACGACTTACCGACCGGTACCGGTTCGTGGCCCGGGGGTTGGGGACCGCTGCAGTAAAAAGAGCACTCACACAATAATGCAACTTCTTTCTCTGGTCTAAAATCTCCAACTTATTCATACCTCAAATTTGGGGAATTGCATTTAATTTGTTGTACATGTTATGCAACAGCAAGACAACCCTTTGAAATTTCCCCCGAACGTCACAAACATATCTGTCAGTTTTGTGCACAGGGCATTTTAAATAAGTTTTGTGCTTTCACGGGGAGGTGATATACTCGACAGCTTTTCTGAGTAGTCTGTGAAGAACTGCCAGTGTAAATTAGGATGCCAGTTTTTGACATGACTTGCACTTTTAAGATGAAGTAACAGCTTTCTCTCTGTTTGACAGCCATAAAAGCCATGCAGATCTTTGAACACTCGGGAGAGACTTGAGAGACATGATTGGAATGTTATTATATTGATATATACTGATATCAGCGAGACCCCCATAATGTATAAAAATCAGACATACCATCCTCTTACATCAATTAATCATCTATCAGCTCCTTGATGTTCAAATCTCTTGTCTCCTCATGCCTTCAAAGAAAACGTTGTGGAATATTTTAGGGCAGAACTGTAAAACCACTCAAAATTGTACTTTGAAAGAGTTGCCGAATGACTTTGGAAGTTTCTTAATAAATACTTAAGAAAATATGGCTTGATTTACTTTTCAGATCAGTTAGAGAGGCTTTTTGGAGGGTGTCTGGAGCAGATAAGAATGACACAGAAGTCTTTTCATTGCTTGCGAATCCCTAGAGTGGCTCAGGCCAGACTTACAGCCTGCAGGCCGGCATTGGTGTTGGCCTGTTCCTCATGGACCATTGTTGTCAGTACATCATCCCAGACAACAAAACCATCTTCCACATCTGTAATCTAAGAGGTCACAAAGCTCTAGAGACTGAACTGAGAAAAAAATAGCCCGATGCCTTCAGGTAAAAGCCACAAGATGTTGACTACAGAGGGATGAATTTGAAAGGAGGCACTGTGACCCAAAGAAAAATCTCTCATGTTTTATGAATAGACTCCAGCAAGGCATAAGAAAGGGAGTTATTTCTGAATTCAAAGTGACTTCCTGCAGTCGATGTAGTTGATTTATTTGATGTGTTTGTTTGAATGCTCATGTTTTTCTTGTGTGTATTTATGCATATATATTTGCCAAGGGAATGTGTGTGTTCACCTCAGAATGAGCTATTTACCTACTCGTGCGCACCACCTACAAGAGCCTTTTTTATTGATGTACTATGATGAACCATGAATGACATCCAGTCAATGGAGACCTCAGGGACACAGTATCAATATTATCAACAGCAGTGCCTTACTATGTTTCCTATTATTCAACTCGGTGAAAGACGACCCTAAGATTTTCTTTTCACCTTTTTTGTTGATTTTAAAGGCTAAATATCGTTGTTACCACATATGACAATTTAAACCCATTTAAACAGCAAAAGGTTTACACTCGTTCTAAGCCAGCTACAGAGAGCAGGATACTTGGCTTCTGCAAGCCAAGTATCTATTGGTTAGAGACTGAACCCCAAGTTGTTTTCCAATGCATTCACTGGAGTGTGAGTGCTATACAGAAAGCACTGGTGACCAAAGTGTTGTGCGAATAGGTGAATGAAATGTTTTGCATAAAGTGCATTGTGTGCTCAAGTAGAGTAGAAAAGCACTGTATGACAGTCCATTTACCATTTGCCTTCGCATCTTCACCTTTTTTTCCCAGTTCTGAGAGATGATTTCCGTCAGACGCCCAGTGATGTGGTGGTGGCAGCAGGGGAGCCGGCTGTCATGGAGTGCATCCCTCCCAGGGGCCACCCGGAGCCCACCATTTCTTGGAAGAGAAACAACATCCGGGTCAATGATCGAGATGAAAGAATTACTGTAAGTTAAAAATAACCTAAACAAGTCTGGTTTAAGGTTAAATTGCATTTTACTTCTGGTGGAACCTATTACCAACTTGTCAGCTTTTTATACTTTTTTAAAATAAAATTTCAGGTAATTTTCACTCATCAATTTGCATTACTATTAACAGAAGACACTGAGCTGATAGATGTTAAAAGACACATTTAGAATATATTTAAAACCAGACTTCCACACACATTACCCACTATGACCAAATGATGAATTGCGGCTTATTGAAGTTAGTTACCACAAACAGAGCAGTGAGTGATGCTTGTGTGACGACTGGCTTAGAGCCCTTGTCAAATAATTTTAAGAACTAGCCACAGAGCCATCTGTCATAACACACACTGAAAATGACTAAGTGGTTTCTCTCTCTCTTCACTAACATGCCTCAATATCCTGTTTCCAACATTTATCCATGTCTTCTCTCTGTCCCCTCCTCCACTCATCTGTTCCTTTCTGTTTCGTCTTCCTGCTCTTCCTTCTGTCTTTAACTTACGGTGCCCCTCGATTTCAGATCCGTGGAGGAAAGTTGATGATTTCAAACACCAGGAAGAGTGATGCTGGCATGTATGTGTGCGTTGGAACCAACATGGTTGGAGAAAAAGACAGTGATCCTGCTGAACTGGTGGTATTTGGTGAGTTGTTTTCGACACTCAGCTAGCAAATATTGTCTGGGAAACTAAACATGAAGTCATACAGTCAACATTATTAGTATCAAATATCCTTTTGGGAGCATGCTTGATTGTTGTAGTGGTCACACAAATGCAATGGCAAAAGATAAATTGTTAACAGAATAAATTGGAGCTAATTTGCTTCCAGCTGTTAGCCAATTGGCTCATATATTAAGCCAAATTATCAATATAATTCCTCTGATGCTTCAACTGTGTTAAAATGTTCACTATAAGATTCCAAAAAACAGTGAAAGTATCTTCTATTTTGCGCCTGTCTGTATTTTTCTGGGGTTGGACATTCTTTCCTTGGCTGATATTGGAGGATTAGATTCATATTTCCCACCCAGCTGCTCTTTGCTTTGCTCTCTTGACTTTTCTCCTCCCGTCTCTGATTCTCTGCTGTGCTCTCAGTGGAGCAGTACCACAGGCATCAAAGTGTGTATCGATCACAGGAAACGGATGGAGAATTGATATTTTCTTTTCAGTCCCTTGGATCTCCTGTTCACCACCACCCACACGGCCACAAAATGTAGCTCCTTCTGCACATTGTAGTGCAGCAGTAAACTCAAACCCTGGCATGTAATGCATAATCTATAAATTTATGGTTCCTTAAAATGTATGACTTGGCGCTTTCCCTAATGTTTAATATTACTGCCATCTGCAAACTTGAAAGATAATAGCCAGTGCACATCTGCAATGTTTTTTCTGCCCATCCATTTTCTGCTCCTGAATCACAGACTAAGCAAAGTTGTCAAGACATTTCTCACCACCGCGACTTTTTATACCTCCAGCTGTGGGGAATGCTTTCACAATGACTACGATCATGGAAATACCTGCAGCTCTGAGCCTATTTAGGCTACGTCCACACGTACCCGGGTATTTTTGAAAACGCAGATTTTTCTATGCGTTTGCACCTTTCGTCCACACGTAAACGG